GCCTGTGGACACTCCTGGGGTGTCTCAGCCCCAGTACTGCTAAGGAGCCTCCCTTTTCTAAGAAATTCTACAAGCAGCTGAAATGAGAAACTGAGGCCTCGGAGACCTTGATATGCTGACAGTAAAACTGATTTTATCTCAGAATCAGCCACTAGAACTTCCTTTATCCAAACTGGGCTCCATGCTGACTGGTCCTTTTTCCATCGATAACAGTCATGCTTCCAGCAAGGCCCTTTCCTCGCCCATTTTGAAATGTGATGTGTCTCATGTCGTCCCCCTGCCTCAAGCAAGCAGAGGAGGACATTGCAAGTTTGTTATTTTTTCCAGGTGTCCCTGGGAACAGCAGGTGGGAATGGAAGGACAGAGGTGGAGACTAAAATATCTGCTGGACCCTTCTGTCTTCCACGGGCACTTACTGCCAGAGGGGGAAGGTGTTCATGGGCCACAAATGGGGTGTGAGCTCCATGCACCTGCATGTTCCTGCCCATGCTCACCTGGGTAGGTCCCATGTTCTCTGACCAGGTTCCATGCTCACCTGGGCAGGTGCTTACCTGGATAGATTTCATGCTCACCTGGGCAGGTGCCATGCTCACCTAGGCAGATGCTCACAGGAGGTGGTAAGGATCACCTCCAGTGCCTGCCACTCATTCCCCAGGGTCAGGTGCAGGGATGGGACCCCCGAGTGGAGGCCTTCGAGGGTCCTGGTGGGCTCAGCACTCGCAGCAACCCTCCCGAGTGAGAAGCCCAGGGGGGTTGCATCAGCCAGGTGGGGGTAACTGTGTTTGGCCAGTTCTACCTGTTAGGATCCCTTAATTTCGTGTAGGAGTCAGTAGCTTAGGAATTACTTTTTCTGTCATCATTTCATTGACTTTTCATAACAACTTGGGAGGTGGGACTTCACTCTGATTCCATACAGACTGGGAAGTCAGGAGGGGTTGGGGCCTTGGGCCTGGGGACCTGTGTCTTCCTGGGAGGGTTGTTTCACCTGCCCCTCTGCTGTGTCCATGACCACAGGCTGTCAGAGGACCCATGTGGTCCTGAGCCCCGGCTGTGGCTCGGGCACTGGCATGGCCCACTGTTAGAACCCCACGCCCGCAGCTTCCCTGCACACCCACCTATGAGTTAGACTGATTTCCTCATCAGCATGGGAGGTGGCAGGAGGGCTGGGAGCCAGTGTCCAGCAGGGGCAGGAGGGTCCAGCACAGGCCGGGAGCCTTTCAGACACGGGCGTCCGCAGCGGTAATACCATCTGTAAAAGTCAGCACGAAGCTGTGTTCTGCAGGACAGTGTGCAGGATTAGGGTGCTTTTCAGTGATCAGCCTCGGGGGCCTTAGAGCCTGAACGAGCCTGTTGCTAGTTGGTGGGACCTAAGTGTGTGTGTGGGGTGTTGGGTCCTGAGAGTGAGAAGTAGCCAAGAAACAGGAGGTTTGCTCCATGCAAGGAGGAGCTCCCTCCTGCTCTGGCAGATGGGGTCTGACCTTGAAGGGCGGGGTGTGACCTTAAAGGGCAGGGATACTTGGGGCCTGCTGTGTGTGTTCCTGGGAGGGGACAGGGAACCTCAGGAGGGCTTGGCTGGAATGGGGCGGGTCCTAAGCCTGGCCCCACTAGGTCAGCGTGAAGTCACAGGCAGGTGGCTTGTCCCGCCTTCATGGGAGGCATCGCATTTATACAGAATCAGGTTTCAGCACCAACAAGGTCACACAGGTCCTCCTTCTAAGAGAAGTCTTTCTTCTGGAAGTAAATTTCCTCATAAATATTTTCATGACCTCATTTAACAAACGAACTGTTTTCACAGCCCCCTTAGGGTGATGTTCACTTTCCCCTCGCGTGTTATTTAAATGCGTGTTCTGTTTTCCTGTCTTTGGTGATGAAGCTCATTTCTGCCTTCTCACGTAAAGTCTTAGATCTTTGCGGTATTTTCCACCCCTGGCTTGGGGCCAAGTCAGGGACACTCGCTGCCCCACAGTGATTGACAAGGGCCATCCATAGAACCCTCTGCTGTTCTCATGTCTTATTCCAGAAATGGGCTGGGGTGAGATAGCCCCAGGGATGTGCAGGTGGGAGAGGGGCTAAGGCTCCAAGAGCTCAGCAGAGGCCCCGTAGCTGCTGTTCCTCCCGAATGCAGACCCACACCAGCCGAGACTGACCCCCCCTCTTCCTGCCCCTGTGCTCCAGGGAGAAGGGACTTGGGCAGAAGCAGAATACAGGCGAAACATCTCTTGGGGGACAGTTTTACTCTGGCTGTGGATGGGGTTCCATAGTCCAGGTTTTCTCCTGGGTGCACTGAAGAGTGCTCAGGCTAACGAGCCAGTTGGAAGCATCTTGTTGGATCCTGTTGCAGGCACGGCTGGTGCAGGTTTTAGCTGACCTCCTGGTCTGTGTGGGGCTGCGAGGGGCTGGGGGCGGAGCTAACGAGAGGAGGCGGGGCCTCGTGCTTCGCTGAGTGAGAGTCTGAGGCGCAGGCAGAAAGGGGCGGGTAGAGCTCAGGAAGCATTTCTAGTGTTGCCTCAGCAGGAAAAACGTGCTTCCAAGAATGCTTTGGAAACATTTTCTTTTAGGTGGAAGAAAATGATGACACTCTCTGGCTCCCAGCTAGACATTTATCAGGGCCACAGGCTCGTCCGCAGCCAGGGAGCCCGTAGGTTCTGGAGCTGCTTTCTCGTTTGAGAGGCTGGACCTCGGTGACCACGAGCATCATTCCCACAGCAACCAGCTGCGATGAGATGCGGGTTGTGACCTGCAGGACAGTGTAACAACAGCAGACGAGCCTTTGGATGGAAAATTTCCTCTGCAGCCTTAAACAAATCACGTATAACTGAATCTCAGTTTCCTCATCTCTGCCCTAGAAAAAGGAACGTGACATTCTTTTGATTGTTAGGAACTATATTGAAAGTACATATGTAGGTACACATGCTAGCGTCATATACCCTACACTTGACATGCTGTTCTAGAGCTGTGGCCCCCACACGTTTGCCTCTTCCCGGTCACTGTCAGTAGCCCTGCCTTCACCCTCTTCTTAAAGTGGTTTTCTGGCTGGTTCCTGAACAGTGAGCTCCTTGCTACCCCAGGGCCTTTGCACTGCAGTTCCCTGTGTAACTCGCTGTGCTCTTCCCAGAGGGCTGCCAGGCCACACTCTCGCTTTTATTCAGGTGTCTGCTCACAGTCCCCCTGCTACCAAACCACCCCATATAAAACAGCAACCCCAGAACTGCCTGCCCCTTACTGCCTTATGTTTCTTCACAGCACTTATGGCCACTTGGGGATAGGGCTGTTGTTACTGTTTTTCTCCCTCCCTCCTTTTTTGAGTTTGGTTTGTTTGCGTTTGCAATATCTACCGAACTGGCATATAGTAAGTAGGCCATTAAATCCTCATGAAAAAAACTTTTTTTTTTGCTTTATTTATTTTTAGGAAATGTCATTTTGAAGAATGAGTAACTTGCCCAAGGTCACATCGGTGGCAAGTGATAAACAGTGACTTAAACCCAGGGTGGACACCAAGTCCTGACTTTTCTCATTGACTCGAGTCTGTCTTCCCTCCCACTTTTTCCTTCGGTTTGGGCATGGAGGCCTTTGCTCATTTCTCTGGCTCTGTCTTTGTAATGCCCGGCTCGTCCAGGGTTACCCAACCCAGCAGCATTCTCCTGCAGATTCCAGCCTACCACCAACACTGCTCCTACCCCAGATCCTAGTAAAAACTTCCCGGTCCAGTGTTGGGTTCTCAGAGAACCTTGTGTGTGGCATTCTGGAGCAGCAACAGCTAATCTGATCAACTGAGTCATGGCCAGTGTAGGCGTGGACGGGCCACGCCCCATTGGCTCCATTGCCTCCAGAAGAGAACCTGAGTGTGTTTGGTGTGTGTGCGCTCAGATGCATGTGTGCCAGGAGTGCATGTGTGCCAGGGGGTGCATGTGTGCTTGGATGCATGTGTACACTTGGTTGTATGTGTGCCAGGATGCATGTGTGTGCTTGGATGCATGTATGCCAGTAGTGTATGTGTGTGCTTGGATACATATGAGCCGGGAATGCATGTTTGCTAGAGATTGCATGTGTGCGGGGAGTGCATGTTTGCCAGATGCATGTGTGCCGGGATACACATGTGCGTGGGTGCATGTGTGCTTGGATGCATGTGTGCCGGGGGTGCCTATCTGCCAGATGCATGTGTGCCGGAGGGTGCACGTGTGCTGGAGCTGCATGTGTGCCGGGGAGTGCATGTGTGCCAGAGGGGCACNTGCATGTGTGCTTGGATGCATGTGTGCCGGGGGTGCCTATCTGCCAGATGCATGTGTGCCGGAGGGGCATGTGTTCTAGAGGGGCATGTTTGCCAGATGCATGTGTGCGGGGGGTGCATGTCTGCCGGAAGCATGTCTGCCGGAAGCATGTCTGTCGGGGGGGGTGCATGTGTGCCAGGGTATACGTGTGCTGGGATGCGTGTGTACCAGAAATGGCTTCACTCATCTCCTCGCGGGAGCAGACGTCGTAACAGCTGCAAGAAGTGCCGCTGGGACAGGCCTCGCTGAGGGGCGCTTTGATACCTTGTTCTTTGGGGGGTAATTTTCTGTTTCTTAGTTTGTGCTACCTGGTGATATGTGACAATACACCGTCTGTTCAGTTTGTCCATGGCATTGTCCACCGTATCTGAGGTGCTTTTGGCTTTACCATGTTCCCCGGAAAGGTGGGACAAGCAGATAATCTCCTTTCCTACGAAGTGTAAATGGTACCAGACTCGTGTGTACTTTGACGGCGGCATTTTGTTCATGGACAAGTACTCGCAGCCCAGGTCTTCGTCTTTCGTGTTATAAGCTGTGAGCACTCAGTTTTCCAGTTTGTAGATGTGCCTCATGATACTAGCTCGGCTGTTCGCAGACAGCCAGCCTGTTGGCTAAACTCGCCAGAAGCGGCAACCCGGGCGCTAATTCTTGACGTGACACTGTTGCGCGTGTGTGTGCCCAGCTCGCCAGTCTCTTCCCCTTGTCCCACGCCCTCTGCTCTGCTCCTTTCAGGGAAAGTGCGGTGGCGGGACTTTAACCAGGAAGCTTACGTTGGAGGGACCATGGTCCGCTCTGGGCAGGACCCCTACGCCCGCAACAAATTCAACCAAGTGGAAAGTGACAAGCTGCGGATGGACAGAGCCATTCCTGACACCAGACACGACCAGTAAGTACTGAGCTGGGTGTTGGCCGGGGCTCTACCTGCTTTCCCACGACCCAGGCGGCAGCTTCACTGCGACACTCACCCTGGGGCCTTCGGGTGGACGGAACCCGGGTTTCTCAGCTCAGCTCAGGAGGTCTCCAGGCATCGGTCCTGTATATTGTCACCACTTGACAGGAAAGTGATATTTACTCTCTACCTCCAAGTCTTGCTGGTGAGGATCTTTGACTGGGAGGCGGTTCACCTGGACCCTTAGCGGGTTAGTCTGGTTTCAGATGAGGAGCCACACACGGGGGCAGTCACGTTCCTGGGTGCTCAGTAGGACGTCCTGCTCGCCAGGTTACTGTTGGAGTCGCTCACGGTCACGTCATGGAGCGCGGGTTACATCTGCCGTGGCTCAGGTGCTGTGCGTGGGTCCTGGGAATTTAGTCACTGCTCCAGCTGTGGGGGGTGACAGGACGAGAGGGCGTGCAGTGCCCTGGGTCTTGAGCAGTCTGCGCCAATCAGGAGTGGGAGGGTCAGGGGAGGCACCCAGGGGGCGAGGCCTGAGCTGGAGGCACCCAGGGGGAAGGACAGTGNGAGTGGGAGGGTCAGGGGAGGCACCCAGGGGGCGAGGCCTGAGCTGGAGGCACCCAGGGGGAACACGGCCCTGACAGGTAGCCCAGGGCATCAGAGTGCCAGCCAGGGCTCTTGTTTCTCGGGCGTGCATTCCCGGGATTGAAAGGTGGATACACTGAAGAGAAACAAAAAGCCAACTAAATTACGGTTGACCCTTTAACCACATGCAGTTGAAAATCTGCATACAACTTTTTGATTCCCCAAAAACTTAAATTGTCCCTCAGTATCCACCAAGGATTGGTTCCAGAACCCCCACAGATAGCAGAATCCGTGGATGCTCAAGTCCCCTGTAAAAATGTCATCGATACCCAGCCAGCGTTGCTCAGTGGTTGAACATTTGACCTAGGAACCAGGAGATTGTAGTTCNGTCCCCTGTAAAAATGTCATCGATACCCAACCAGCGTTGCTCAGTGGTTGAACATTTGACCTATGATCCAGGAGATTGTAGTTTGATTCCCTCAGGGCACATGCCCAGGTTGTGGGCTCGATCCCCAGAAGGGGGTGCGCAGGAGGCAGCCGATCAGTGGCTCTCATCATTGATGTTTCTGTCTCTCTCTCCCTCTGCTTTCTGTGAAATCAATATAATACATTTAAAAAAATAAAATAAAATGTTGTAGATCAGGGCATATGGTCTGCCCTCTGCATCGTGGACTCCAGCCATGGTTCCAAAACAGCACAGGTTTTCACTGAAAAAAAATCCGCATATAAATGGACCTGCACAGTTCAAACCTGTGTCATTCAAGGGTCAGCTGTACTGGTTAAAGATTGATTTTGTTTTATAAGTTAACAGCATCATTAAAAGAGGATTTTTCTCTTCTCTCACAGTTTCAGGGAACTTTCCTAACAGGGTAGGTACCAGTTAACGGCCAGGTGCCTTTCTTACCAGCTCTCTTTGGGTTCTGGCAGCTCTGTGCACCCATAGCGGCTCGTAAGTATGTAGATTTATAGTTCTTTCAGACCAGGCAAGTAAGAGTGAGTATGTGATATTTTTAACATAGGGAACATATGATAGATATATGGACATATATCATACATAATACTAAGACTGTCATCATTTTTCTAAATCCAGTCCAGAAGATTGCCTCTACTTAATGGTTCCTGTAACCCATTCATTTTTTTTTAAAAGGCGACTTAATCCCACACTTCTGGTTAAAGTCAGCACGGTTGACTGTTAAAGGCTGCTGGCCTGGAATCCAGGGACCCGTGAGGGGCTTTGGGACTCTGTGAAAGTCCTTTAGCTGTGTGACCAGTCTCAGGTTCGTACATGCCTGCATATCTGAGGAGAGGGTCCCAGGTGCATGCCTCCCCACCACTCTCCCAGGGAAGCGCTGGCCAGTGCCAAAGGCTCCCCGGGACCTGCTCACCCTGTCCTCGCGTGCTGCTGGACACTAAGGGTGTCCTTATTGCACAGAATGGGAACCGAGGTGTCAGTAACTTACCCAGTAACATCCTGCGGTGTCAGTAACTTACCCAGTGACTAGGAGCAACTCACCTAAGAGCAGAAAGGGTCGGTGTGGCTTTGAGGAGGGCCTGGCCCAAACTCAGGAGAGCGGTGAAAGTTCCAGCAGGATCTTACCTGGTCACTGGACTCGACTGCTTGGAGTAATATCTCTGGGAGATGGTGTGAGTCTCATTTCACCATCTGGTTTAAGAGCTTGTATTCCTACTATGACTTGTCCTCTAAGATGTTTCCTTAGAGCTGAGAACAAGTGGTGTCCTTTCTTATGGTTTGTCAGCATGTGGGCCGGGGTCTGCCTCCATTGCAAGTCCCTTAAAAGTTCCCAAAACTCTCTCTCTCTCTCTGTGTGTGTGTGTGTGTGTGTGTGTGTGTGTATTTTAAGTTTTTGAAGTAGGAGTTCATCCAAGCAGATGTTTGAATATTCATCCCATGGTGGGATGCATTTTAGGTGGGTTTAATTTTAGTGCCAGCTACTGTCAAGTGCATTTGCATGTGTTAAAGGAGCAGCTGGGACGCTTCCACACTTGTTGGGTTTGGGCTAAATTAAAGTCTACCCAGCGTCAGGTGGATGCCTGGAACTGAGGACGTCCCGTCCTCAGAATGTAAGCCTTAGAACAACCATTCTTCTTGAGGGTCGGGTTCAGGAAACCAAGTTGCCTGTTTTGACCCCCTCCCCCATATCCCTCTAATAGAGAGCTATTAAAGCAGTCGACCTTCCTATGTAAATATCACTCTTTTTGTCTCTGCAGCATCTCCCTTGTGTAGGCCTGGGGGGTGCTTGCCCAGTAGACCCAGCCCTCACTCCTGAGGAAACCCCTGACTCCAGTTCTTAATTCTGCGGCCTTTATCATCTGTGAGATGGTGAAACATGGTTATACCGGTCACTGTGAGGATTGAACAGTGTTCACAGGGCCGGCCCCCCTCCCCGAGATCTTGTTCAGCAGGCACGTCGGCGAGGCCTCCCGTGACGACCTTCGTGGAGCGCGGCCCCTGGCCCCCATCCCGGCCTTCCTCAGCTTTCTTCCCTTGACTTCCCTCCGCAATTCTTACCCATCTCTACTCATTGGACTAGTGAGTTACTATACCCATGGTTGGTGTTGGGACAGCTCATGGCACTCAGTAGAGTGGGTAAATATTTGTCGAGTGAGTGAATTGCTTAGTGCAGTGCCGGGTGTGCGGCGGGTCTGTACACTGAGTAAATCATTAATATATTGCGGGTGATAAAGTGAGGGAGAGTGGAAGGGTGCTGCAGCGGAGAGCTCTGAACTCCAGGGTGAACCACCGATAACTACACTGAGTTGGGGTTCTCCCAGGGCTGGAACTGTTTCTCCTTTGGGGTTCCAAGCCTTCAAAAAAAAAAACACAAAACAAAACACACATTGGGGCTGTGTTTTATTTGTCTTCTTAAGTATACAGAAAAATTTTGCCAAGAAAAAATATTTCCACCAAGCAGGAGGCACAGACGAGCCTGCCATGCCATCGTAGATACGACACACAGGACATGCTAGGCTCTCTTAGAAATGAGAAAGGTGGTACCCATCCCAGTCTTGAAATTGGAGTTTCTCAACTCAGAAAAGAAAAAAAAAAAATGCTTTTCTACCTCATTTAATGTTATGTGAAGTTTCGTATAAATTATCAAAACTAAAAGCAGATCAAACCAGTGGGAATTTTGAAGGTGCTTTCAGACTGCTTGTTTTTTTTCCTCCCACTTTGGGGAGCTGCTGTTACTGTCCTGGCAGAAGGCAATGGACAGACCTGGACCCATTCTGCAGGCGGGGCCGACAGGACATGCTGACGGGTTGGACAAGGAATGTGTGTGGCCTGGGGCACGGCTCCCAGGCTTGTGGCTGGAACACAGGAAGAGGTGGCACTGCCTTGTGTGAGATGGGGAGGCTGTGAGCACAGCAGGTGTAGGGGACACAGTGGGAATGAAAATCTGGACGTGCTGAGTTCCAGGCCCATTAAGCACCTGTTTTACAGGTAGGTGATTGAATATGTGCCTGGTGTTCAGGAGAAAGACCTTAGTAGGGATGGAAGTTTGGGAGCGTTCAGTATGCAGGTGGTGTTTAATGACACCATGAGATCGCCCATCACCCCCAAGGCCATAGAACAGGAAGGGAGGCCTGAGGAGTGGCTCTGGGTGACACCCACCCTGAGGTCTTCAGCTGTGACTAAAGCCTAGGCCAACACCTGGGGTACAGCCGACACTGATCATCCCTCAGGGTTGCATGTGGGGCCCAGGCTGGGGAGAAGCGCTCTCACTGCCCTCCTAGAGGACGGGCATGTCAAGGAGGCGACTGTCTCCCTGCTAAGGCCATTCCTGAATCCAGAATCCAGCTCAGAAGGCTTTGTGGGTTTGGATGTTTTGGAGGGTTTTTTTGCCTGAAAGTGTATTTGACAGAAAAGTGAAGTAAAATAATGGAATGGGAGCTGGGAAGTTTATGGGATATTCCTCTGTCTGCTGGGGAAAGCTTGAGATGGTTTACTTTCAAATGTTTACATAAGAAAAATCAAATAAACCTTAGGAGGAAAAACAGTATCCTGTTTTCTTTTCTTTCTCCCATCGGCCAAACACCATTCCTTTTCATTTATTTATTTAGTCTCTTCCAAATGAGAACCGCTTGGTAGAAGAGCAGATTTTATTCAGGTTTCAGACGTTAAATTATTAGAAAGTTTCTCCCCACGTTGCCACCCTTTCCTTTCATCGCTAAATTAAAAATGAAGGGCTCTGGAACATTCTGCGTCGGAAACGGAAATGCTGCTCCTGAGAACAGGGCTGCTGAAGCATCCCCACGAGGGAGCCGCTCTCGGAGAAGTTTGTTCAAATTACACACCTAATGGATTTATCCGGCGGCCTTAAATCAAGAACATACCGTTTTTGCTCAGTTTATAAATTGTAGTTGTACGGTTTGGTTTTGTTTTGTTTAGA